TGGAAGTCCTCTAGGAGTTCAGAGGAGAGAGATCACTGCTTTCGGACTAGTTTTGGAATGCTGCTTTGAGGAGAACTAGGACTTGTTCTGAGGCATGTGGGGTTTAGGTAGATGGGAAGCAGGATACAGTCAGTGTCAAGGTTTAAGGAGGGGAGTTTATAACAGGAGCCAGGAAGATAATTCAGGTAGAGTATTTAGGGGTCAATGAGAAGATGGTTTGGTTAATGTTAAAAAGGCATGAAATGGAACATGTGGAGAGCTTTTACTATTAGAGAGGGTGTTTGGACTGAATTAGGGGAGAATGTTGAGATTTTTGATAAACAAGGTATTTCAGTAAGCTCAATTTGAGTGAGGTGTGCAGGTTGCATTGAGGGTGGCAGAGCCTATAGCATGTACTACATTTGTGGTTATATTTTGTATACAGGCATGAGTTGATGAAGACTTAAGCCGCCATATTGTAAGTGCAAATTGAAAGAAAGGACAGAATGAGAGACTGTATCAAGGTTTTAGTTCTTACATTTAGGTCCTTGATCCATTTTTAGTTAATTTTTGTATATGGTGTGAAGTATGGTTCCAGCTTTGTGCTTTTGCATGTGGAAATTCAGTTGTCCCAGCACAATTTATTGAATAAACTATTCTTTCCCCTTTGAATGGACTTAACACCCTTGTCAAAAATCAGTTGACCATAGATACATACATTTATTTCTGGACTTTGAATTCGATTCCATTGGTTTATATGTCTGTCGTTATACCAGTACCAGCTGGTTTTGATTACTGTAGCTTTATAGTGTGTTTTGAAATCCGGAAATATGGGTCCTCCTACTTTGTTCGTCTTTTTCAAGATTGCTTTGGCTATTTCACATAAAAGTGAGGATTGGTTTTTCCATTTCTGCAAAGAAGACTGTTGGAATTTTGATACTTATTGTGTTTTATCTATAGGTTGCTTTTAGTAGTATTGACATCTTAACAATATTAAGTCTTCCAATCCATGAACATGAAATGTCCTTCCATTTATTTAGGTCTCCTTTAATTTTTTTCAGCAATGTTTTATAGTTTTTAGTGTACAAATCTTTCACTTCCCTGGTTAAATTTATTCCTAGGTATTTTATTTTTCTAGATGTTATTTAAATGGAATTGTTTCCTTAATTTCCTTTTCAGATGGCTCATTGCTGGTGTACAGAAACCCAATGATTTTTGTGTATTGACCTTGTACCCTGCCACTTTGCTGAATTCATGTATTAGCTCTAGTAGCTTTCTTGTGGATTCTTTGGGATTTTATATATATATAGGATCATGTCATTTGTAAAAAAAGATACTTTTACTTTTTCCTTCCTGATTTGGACATCTTTTATTTCTTTTTCTTGCCTAATTGCTCTAACTGGGACTTCCTTTGCAATACTGAATAGCAGAGGTAAGAGCAGGCATCCTTGTCTTGTTCATAATCTTAAGAGGAAAACTCAGTTTTTTCTCCATTGAATATAATGTTAGCTGTGAGTTTTTCATAAATGTCCTTTATCAGATTGAGGAATTTCCCTTTTACTTCTATTTTGTTGAGTGTTTTTATCATGAAAGGGTGTTGGATTTTGTCAAAGATTTTTCTTTGTCAGTTGAGATGATCTTGTAGCCTTGTCCTTTGTTTTGTTAATGTGGTGTAATACATTTGATTTTCTAATGTTGATCTACCCTTGCGTTCCTGGGATAAATCTTAATTAATACGGTGTATAATCCCCTTAATATGCTTTTGGGTCCAGTTTGCTAGTATTTTATTGAGGATTTTTGTGTCTATATTTATAAGGATATTGGTCTGTAGTTTTTTTTTTTTTTCTTTCTAGTGATATCTTTGTCTGGCTTTGGTATCAGGTTAACGCTAGCCTCATAGAATGAGTTAGGAAGTGTTCCCTCCTCTTCTGCTTTTTTGGAAAAGTTTAGGATGTATTGGAGTAACTTCTTGTATAAATGTTTGACAGAATTCCCTAGTGAAGATATCTGGTCCACGACTTTTTTGTTGTTGTTGTGAGGTGTTTGATTACCAATTCAATCTCTTCACTTGTTAAGGGTTTGTTGAGATTTTCTGTTTCTTCTGGAGTCAATTTAGGTAGTTTATGTGTTTCTAGGAATTTATACATTTCATCAAAGTTATTTATTTTGTTGGGGAACAGTTCATAGTGTTTTCTTAAGGTCCTGTTTATTTCTGTAGGGTTGGTTGTAATGTCTGTACTTTCATTTCTGATTTTTTGATATTTGAATTTTATCTCTCTTTTTCTTTGTCAGTATAGAAAAAGGTCTGTTGATTTCATTGATCTTTTCAGAAAACTAACTACTGGTTTTATTGGTTCTCTCTATTGTTTTCCTGTCTTTGTTTAACTTGTTTCTGCTCTGATCTTTGTTTTTTTCCTTCATTCTGGTAGCTTTGTGCTTGGTTTGCTTATCTTTTTTTAGTTCCTCAAGTTGTAAAGTTAGGTTATTGCTTTGGGGTCTTTCTTCTTTTTTAACATAGGTGCTTACCACTATAAATTTTGCTTTGAGGACTGCCTTTGCTGCATCCCATAAGTTTTGATATGTTGTGCTTTATTTTTCATTAAATTCTAAGTATTTTCTAATTTCTCTTGTTTTCTTCCTTGACCCCAAACCAAAAACTAAACCCATTGCTGTCAAGTCAATTCCTACTCATAGCTTCTCTATAGAACAGAGAAGAACTGCTCCATAGGGTTTCCAAGCCTGTAATCTTTCTGAAAGAAGACTGCTACATCTTTCTTCTGTGGAGTGGCTGGTGGATTTGAACTGGTGACCTTTTGGTTAGCAGCCTAGAGCTTACCCACTGTGCCACCAGGACTCCTTTTCTTGACTCATTGGTTATTTACTAGTGTGTTGTTTAATTTCCACATATTTGTGTATTTTCTAGTTTTCCTTCTGTTATTAATTTCAAGTTTCAGTCTATGTGCTTGCAGAAGATACTTCGTATGATTTTCACCTTTTTAAATTTAGTGTGACTTGTTTTGTGGCCTGGCATGTGGTCTATCCTGGAGAATGATCTATATGCACTGGAGAAGAATGTATATTGTACTGTTGTTGGGTGGAGTATTCTATTTATGTCTCTTAGGTCTAGGTGGTCAGTAGTGTTGTTCAAATCCTTGTATTTCCTTAATGATCTTCTTTCTAGATGTTCTGTCCGTTATTGAAAGTGGTGTGTTGAAGTCTCCAATTATTATTGTAGAACTGTCTATTACTGTCTCCAAATCTGCCAGTGTTTGCTTTATATATTTTGGAGCTCTGGTGTCAGGCGCATATATATTTATAATTGTTACATCTTCTTGTTGAATTGACCCTTTTATCATTATATAATGTCTTTCTTTGTCTCTTATAACAGATTTTGACTTAATGTCTATTTTGTCTGATATCATTATAGCCACCCCTCTTGGGCTGTCTTTAAGATGTTTACTGCATTTTTGGTTTGCAGTAATTTTTGCTGTAATGTACCTACCTGTGGATTTCTTTGGTTTATCCTGGTTGGGTTTCCTAGAGCTTCTGAAATATGTGGCTTCATGTCTTTTATCTGTTTTGGAAAATCCTCAGCTAGATATTACTTCTGTTCCACTCTTTCTCTGTTTTACGTACTCTTTCTTATATATCTTCCATTCCTGTGACTCATTATCTCTTGTTCTGATGAACTTCTTCTGACCTCTCGTCTAGTTCTTTGTCTAATCAGCTGTTGAACTCATTCATTGAGTTCTTAATATTGCTTATTATATTTTTCAATCTTAGACTTTATATTTAATTTCTTTTAAAAGCTATCATTTAAAAAATAATTTCTAAGGCCTTGCTAAAATTTTCAGTCTGTTATCTTACTGAATGTATTAAACATAGTTACTTTTAAAGTTTGGATTTGTTAGTTCAAATATCTGGAACGCTGTTGGTCTCTTGCTATTGTCTTTGGTTCTTAGTGATTCTTTATATGTGGTCTTGTCTCCTTGTGTACTTGGTGCTAGACATTATGTTTGAAAAGTTGTTTATAGAAATAATTCAGCAGCTAAGATGATATTACCTTCCTGTAGAAAAGGTTTTCATTTGCTTTTGCTAGTTACTTGAGGTCACTAACAATTGGGGGTAGTTTTAACCCATTTCGGAGCCCTGGTGGCACAGTGGATAAGAGCGTGGCTGCTAACCAAAAAGTCGGCAGTTTGAATCCACCAGCTGCTCCTTGGAAACCCTTTGGGGCAGTTCTGTTCTGTCCTGTAGGGTCGCTATGAGTTGGAATCAACTCGATGGCAACAGGTTTGGTTTGGGTTTTGGTTTAATCCATTCCAGGCATCAAGAAATTTCTGGCTACCCAGATGACTCAAAGCCAAGCAGTTGTTTTAATTCTCTTTCATCCTTAATCCCAATGTGCAACCCTTTGTGGTCCCAATCAAAGCATGAGCTATTTTCCAGAGTCCCCCTATTGGTAGATCCTGGTCTCTAAACCTTTGACCAGACAAAGCTTTTAAGTGTATTGCCCAGCCTACATCTCTTCTCCTGCAGTAATTACCCAGATACTTATAATGCCACCAGGAAAAAAACCATAAAAACCAAACCTGTGGCCATTGAGTGGATTCCAACTCACAGCGACCAGGAGAAAAGCAGCTCAAAATACCAGGTTTAGATCTTAAAGAGTTTTGTCTTCTGCCAGAAGTTGACCTGGTAATTCTTTACTACCTTGTTGGTGTCTAATGCCTTCAACCAGTTGTTTTTTTAAATAATCTGTCCAATTTTTCTGGTTGTTCTCAGTGGGAAGATTGCTCTGAACTACCTAGTCTGCCATAATTAAACACAGTTATTCTTTTTGTTATAAATTGTTGGAAGTAGATTGCCAATCTGGAAAGAATAGACCAATGTAACTGTATTAAGGAAATGGTACAACTAAAAAGCTTTCCTGCTGGCCTCACGGTTTTAAAACTTTCCTTTCAAACATGGGGACATATTGCATACATTAAGGTTTTAATTTTCATAATCTTTTATTTCAGCTCGTGATGCTGATGAGCGAGAGAAGTGGATCCATGCCTTAGAAGAAACAATTCTTCGACATACTCTCCAGCTTCAAGTAAGAGTCTTTACATGGCTTTTGGACAGTTCATTAGTTTCTTGTTTGTTTCTTTTTTGTTTTTTAAATACCTGTGATATGATGTAATGAGAATTAATTTCTGAGTTGCTCATTTTTTGCTTTATAAGTGTGATCATATATAGTAAAGTCATGTCATTTCTTCTACTTTCTGGAGGGTAAAATACTAATTTTTGTCTAGAAACAAGATAGTACAAGGCAATGTTGAAAGTGAAATGTTATGTTAAAATGTGCTAGATTCATTTTTTAAATTTAGTATTTATAGTTGGTTATTGACATAACTGAACTATATAGTTAGATGTGTGCATTAATTGCTATAAGCTGACCTCTGAGCACTGCTTTTGCTGTGTCCCAAAGGTTCTGCTACGATGTGTTTTCTTTTTATATATGTATATATATTTACTGTAGTTTAGATGAAGGTTTACAGAACAAATAGTTTCTCATTTAACAGTCAGTACACATATTGTTTTATGACATTGGTTAACAATCCCATGACATGTCAACACACTCCATTCTTGACCTTGGAGGATACTTTTTTTTTTTTTTTGGTGGAAATATACATAGCCAAAGTTATACCATTTCAAAAGTTTCTACATGTACAATTCAGTGACATCGATTACATTCTTCCAGTTGTAGTGCTATTCTCACTATCTTTTTCCAAATTATTCCATCACCATTATCTTCAACTCGCTGCCCCCTAGGCTGCCCCTCAGACCTTTTGAGTTGCTGTTGTCAATTTGATCTCACATAATTTTTTTTGTACTTTAGATGAAGGTTTGCAGAACAAATAGTTTCTCATTAAATAGTACACATGTTGCCCTGTGACAATGGTTAACAACCCGGCGACATGTCAACACTGTCCCTTCTCAACCTTGGGTTCCCTATCACCAGCTTCCTTGTCCCCTCGTGCCTTGTAGTCCTTGTCCCTGGACTGCTGTGCTTCATTAGTCCCGTTTTGTTTTATGAGGCTGTCCAGTCCCTGGCTGAATGGTGAACTTCGGGAGTGACTTCACCACTGAGCTAAAAGGGTGTCTGGGGGCCATACTCTCAGGGTTTCTCCAGCCTCTCTCAGGCCAGTAAATCTGGCCTTTTTTTGTGTGTTAGAATTTTGTTCTACACAGCTCTGTCCAGAACCCTGTATTGTGATCCCAGTCAGAGCAGTGAGTGGTGGTAGCTGGACACCATGTAGCTGTACTGGACTCAGTCTGGTGGAGGCCTTGGTAGCTGTGGTCCATTAGTCCTTTGGACTAATCTTTTCCTCGTATCTTGTTCTCTTCATTCTCCCTTGCTACCGAAGGGATGAGACCAATGGAGTGTCTTAGATGGCTGCTCACAGGCTTTTAAGACCCCAGATGCTACTCAGCAAGGTAGAATGTAGAACATTGTCTTTATAAACTGTTATGCCAATTGAGCTACATATTCCCCAAGAGCATGGTCCCCACAGCCCTCTGTCCAGCAATTCAGTCCCTCAGGGAGTTTGGATGTGTCTATGGAGCTTCCATGACCTTTCTGGTAGGATATGGTTTCATTCTCATTTGATTTTATGAATTTCTTTGTTCCATCCTTAATTTCTTCTATAACCCAGTAGTTTTTGAGCAAGGTGTTCAGTTTTCATGTGTTTGATTTTTTCTCCTTGCTTTTTGTGTTGTTGATTTCTACTTTTATGGCTTTATGGTCAGAAAAGATGCTTTGTAATATTTCAATGCTTTGGATTTTGTTAAGGCTTGCTTTATGGCCTAATATGTGGTCTGTTCTGGAGAATGTTCCATGTGCATTGGAAAAGAAAGTATACTTGGCTGTCATTGGGTGGAGTGTTCAGTATATGTCTGTGAGATCAAGTTGGTTGATTGTAGTGTTTAGCTCTTCCGTGTCTTTGTTGAGCTTCTTTCTGGATGTTCTGTCCTTCACTGAAAGTGGCGTGTTGAAGTCTCCTACTACTATTGTGGAGCTGTCTATCTCTCTTTTCAGTGCCGTTAGTTTGTTTTATGTATTTTGGAGC